TACATCTTGTGGTGAACCCTCTGTATTCACTCTGGTGAAGTCTTCTCTTGATTATTGACTTTGACACATATACACCTACTTCCTGGAGAGTGTTCCTGATCTGACCAACTGTTGTGAAGGGTGTTTTCTTCACCAGGGAAAGAATTCTTCGGTCATCCACCACAGTTGTTTTCCGTGGTCTTCCGGGTCTCTTGGTGTTTCTGAGCTCATCGGTGCATTCCTTCTTTTTAAGAATGTTCCAAACAGTTGTTTTGGCCACGCCTAATGTTTTTGCTATCTCTCTGATGGGTTTGTTTTGTTTTTTTCAGCCTAATGATGGCTTGCTTCACTGATAGTGACAGCTCTTTGGATCTCATCTTGAGAGTTGACAGCAACAGATTTCAAATGCAAATAGCACACTTGAAATGAACTCTGGATCTTTTATCTGCTCATTGTAATTGGGATAATGAGGGAATAACACACACCTGGCCATGGAACAGCTGAGAAGCCAATTGTCCCATTACTTTTGGTCCCTTAACAAGTGAGAGGCACATATGCAAACTGTTGTAATTCCTACACCGTTCACCTGATTTGGATGTAAATACCCTCAAATTAAAGCTGACAGTCTGCAGTTAAAGCACATCTTGCTCGTTTCATTTCAAATCCATTGTGGTGGTGTATAGAGTCAAAAATGTTAGAATTGTGTTGATGTCTCAATATTTATGGACCTGACTGTATATGTAATGCCCTGGAATGGAAATACATTGTAACATTTCACAAGAGGGAGATCGTTCTGTAAATGAAAGCACACTAGAATGTTATCACAGTTTCATATTATTTCTGTGTGAATTTATTTCTTCCTCTGGTGCAGTGTTAACATGTAAAGAAATGTGTGAAAAAACTCCAAAAATAACACTAAATTTAAGTGATAAATATTGCAAAACATAAATATATAACACGTTTGGTAAATACTGCATGAGTTATTTTAACTCAAAAATTCACACACTATCTCTTCATGAATTGACCCCAATATATTGCATTATGTCCTTGGGTTTACTTATCTTTTAACTTCTTAAAGCAAAGCTGAAACTAAACCTAAATGTTCTTGCAAAAGAAGATGAATACTCCCCTTTCCAGCAGGCAGTGTGTTGAATCTTTGCTGCCTTGCAGAGCTCCATGCAGATAATGAGTTCCCTGCTGGCACTATAGTTCCTCCCACCTACCCCTATGTCATTAAACAACACCAAAAAAATCCCCAAAAGGGATTTGTTCAACGTATGAAAATGTTGAAAAAAATGTTTATCAGAACATTCTTTTTTGCCTTCATTAAGTCAACTAATTTAGCTTAAAAACCTTTAAAATTGCATCCAGACCTGCAATTTGAATGGAATCCCAGATGTGTTAAACACTTTCATTACAATGTATAACCACATTAATAGTTACAATTTCATCCCTTTGAGAAGAATTTTCTATCCTGCTCCTTCATTTTTTTCTCATCACTATAGTCAAAAAAGTGATGTTGATTTGATCACTCTAACCATTAGCAATTGAAAAAATGTTCCAAAAATGAACATTTTTTTTACATGAAATGGGACTGGGGCACAAAAATGTGGATGGAAGAGGATGGGGTGGGACGGTTTCTTTGTGAAGATTGTGCCGCCTGCACAGTGAAGATTGTAGGATAAGGGAAGAAGGTGAGTATTCTACTAGTTCAGGGGTAGGCAACCTTAACCACTTTAAGTCCGGACACTTTTACCACCTTCCAGTCCAGGACAATTTTCAGCTTTCAGCGCTGTCACACTTTGAATGACAATTGCGCGGTCATGCAACTCTGTACCCATATGAATTTTTTAGCATTTTTTGGACAGATAAAACTTTATTTTGGTGGTATTTATTTAATTTTTTGCTATATAAATGAAAAAGTCCAAAACTTTTAATAAAAAGTGTTTTTCTTATAAAATTTTGCAAATAAATAATCTTTCTTCATAAATCTTGCCCAGAATGCATTCAGCTATCTATTTAGTAAAAAAATAACCCAAATTAGTTTATAACCAAAAATTATAATTTTTCAAAACATTTTTTACATTTTTATATTATTATTTATGTTTTTTTTAACATACTGTCACCCTAGCAGTACAGTGTCCTCATAGTGACACTGTACTACTTGTGGGGGGTGATAAAGATTTTTTTTTTTTTTTTTACACTGATTGCTTTTACACCCATAAAGGCTGTAAAGACAATCATTTCTACTTCTCTCTGACTGCATTTTTGCAGCCATTGATAAATACTCTGAGAGCTGTGATTGGTCACAGCTTGTCACATGGTACAACGCTGTTGTGAATAGCCTTGTACCATGTGATCTCTGTGATCATTCACAGATTTCACAAGTACTAAGCAATGATGTCAGGAAGTGACATCTTGTGTACTACTATTCATGTGATCACTGATTGGCCAATCAGTGATCACATGATCGGGACCTCACACAGAGGTCCCGAACAGCAATCGGTGTTCTGCTGTGTACGGAGGACACAGCGGGCACCGGATCGCGATGCTGCACGCTCCCGGGGAGCGCACACAGGCTAAAAAGGCGGGAGCTGTTTATGAACGGCAACCCGCTCCTGCACTATTCCCGTCCGGCCGTTTATATACATGGGCCGAATGGGAAGTGGTTAAAGAGGTGGAGATCTACCAGAACAACACGGAAGTCAAAGATCACCGGGCACAGTGTCAGCCAGTGTGCCCTCTTCACACCCTTTAGCTGCTGTACACATGCCTCAGCCGGTATTAAACCCCCTGTTGCTTTTGGTGGGTGCTACCACCTGCCAATTGCAAACCCATTCAAGTAAATGGGGCCACTCTGAAAGCGCACTGCAACTGCAAGCTTCTGCGGGGTCCAAAGGGTTCAAGCAGCTGGTGAGAAAGCAACAGAACCCTGCCTGCTTTAACCCCTTGTTTGCTGTACTGCACAAATTTTCAGGCCACTTACAGAGTGGCTTCATTCACTTGAATGGGTCATGCTTAGCAGGTGATACACCCACCAACTATGACAGGGTGTATAACTTATTCATAGATACAGTAAATAATTGTTGCCACCTTAGGACAGGAAGTATGTTATTGGCAGGATAGGAGAAAATATAAGGAAAAATAACCCAAAATACCCACATAAAGTATGGGTGCTAAGCTGAAATATATTTGTGCTCTTGGGTTATAATACCCTTTAAAGGCCATCTTCACTAACAGTGAATTAATACTTTGTACATTATTCTTCCGAGAGTACAGTGCAGAGTGTACCCATAATGTACCAAGGACCCATAATGAAGGACGGATGATGATGAGTTTAATATAGATACCTCTGGAGCGTTCCAAAATTCTTTTCCCTGTAAAAGGAAATACTCAGTGATTTTGCACCTTGTATGCCAGAAGCAACAGGACCTGAACTCACTGTCATTTCATTTCTCATGAGCCATAACATGTCCCTGCATATCCTTATGTTCCCATAAACCTTCCCAGCAAACTCCGCTACGGGGCAATGTCATTAGCGCCATGTACTCTGCACACGAATTCCTAATTTGGTTCCGCTAGAATTAAATTTGTCTTAATTTAGTTTTTCAGCTCAGCTGTGCTCATTAGGGTAATGTCTCCCCGGCCCGTGTGAAGGAATCATATCCAGCTTCACTAATTGAACCTGTATGATTTAATTACAGCTGAACTGCATGGCGGATGCTACATCGCCAATAGCGAGGGAAGGGGGAATGTATTACAGTCTTTTTACAAATGTATCTTTAAAAGATGTAATGTAATATAATGTATTGAAGTTTCCATTTTGGCAACCTTGTATTTAGGACAACGGGTTTAAAGAAGAACTTCAAGCATAGTTTGATGAAATAAATCATAAACTATCTTTACATTTGCCAATCTTTGTGGGGCTTCATCGGCTACGGCAGGGTTTTTATGAATGACATGGGTCCTGGTGTGTGTAGTGCAGCATGACGGAGAGGGAATAGTCATATCTGCTCTCTGTTATAAATGAGCCCCTTAAAGTGCTCCACTGAATAAAACATTCTTGACATATCACAGTATACAACTGTAATATCATATCACCTGATTTCCAATGCATGCAATAGAAAACTCTTGCATTTCAGTTGTGATGTTATGGAAAATATAAGTCCAGGGTTGGTGTTATGGGGATCAACGCCCCTCTGGTGTACAGGCAGGGCTAATCAATACGAATATTAGTTATCAAACCAAACTTAATCTTTCAAGCAAAAATTTACTTTTTTCTACAGAGCTCCACTCTGGATCATAACTTCAGGGACAGTGACCAACTTCTCCCTGAGTACCATGAATGTCAGGAAATCGGGCCAGGCATCTGCTTCCAATTTACTTACAACTCCAGGACCTATGGAAGGGGGGAGTTGAAATTTTTTTTTTTGGTTGGCTGAATGCCCTGGAATTCCTCACACACACAAGTAATTGCTTTACAACACCAAATAGATCGATAGATAGATACTTGTAGATAAATATGATGTAGATATAGAGATACATCTGATAGATGGATTAATATTATTTATACAATGTTCAAAAAAATTAAAGGAACACTTTTTAATCAGAGTACAGCATCAAGTCAACTAAACTCCTAGGATATTGATCTGGTCAGTTAAGTAGCAGAGGGGGTTGTTAACCACCTGCCGACCGCAGATAGCCGAATGACGGCTACACTGCGGCTGGCCAGTTCTGGGAGTGCGTCATATGACGTCCTCCCAGAACGCTCTCTCCTGCGTGCCCCCGGCGATCTCCGTGATTGCTGTGTCCTACAGACACAGCTGATCACATGATGTGGTAAAAGGCCAATCACAGAGGCCTTTTACCACGTGATCAGCTGTGTCCAATGACACGCTGATCACCGGGAAATGCAATTGCTGGTTCTCGGCTGCACTTTCCTCACGCTGTCAAAGCGTGAGGAAAGTGCTACCGAGAACCGGCAGTTGTCAGAGCAGGGATGGCACCGATCATCAAGGCACTGATGATCAGTGCCCTGATGATCGGTGCCCAGCAGTGCCACCTACCAGTTCCACCCACCTGTGCCCAGCAGTGCGCCCTTCTGTGCCCAGCAGTGCACCCTCCTGTGCCCAGCAGTGCACCCTCCTGTGCCACCCAGCAGTGCCACACACCTGTGCTCAGAAGTGCCACCTACCTGTGCCCAGCAGTTCCACCCACCAGTGCCACCCACCTGTGCCCACCAGTGTCACCCACCTGTGCCCATCAGTGCAGCCCAGTGGTTGTGCCAGTCAGTGCCCAGTGGTTGTGCCAGTCAGTGCCCAGCAGTGATGCCAGTCAGTGCCACCTATCAGTGCTGTCTATCAGTGCCACTTATCAATGCCACCTATCCGTGACACCTCATTAGTGCTGCCTATCAGTGCCGCCTATCCGTGCCACCTCATTAGTGCTGCCTATCAGTGCTGCCTATCAGTTCCCATCAGTCCTGCCTATTAGTGCCCATCAGTGCCGCCTATTAGTGCCCATCAGTGCTGCCTCATCAACGCACATCAGTGAAGTAGAAAAATTACCTGTTTGAAAATTTTTATAATAGAAACAAAGAAACTTTTTTTTTCACATTTTTTGCACTTTTTTTTGTTTATAGCGTAAAAAGTAAAGTGCCCAGCGGCGATTAAATACCACCAAAAGAAAGCTCTATTTGTGATAAAAAAATGATGAAAACTTCATATGGGTACAATCTTCCATGACCGCACAATTGTCATTCAAAGTGCAACAGCGCTGAAAGCTGAAAATTGGCCTGGTAAAGAAGGGGGCATAAGTGCCCGGTAGGCAAGTGGTTAATCAGTTTCAGCTGCTTTGGTGTTAATGAAATTAACAACAGGTGCACTAGATGGGCAACAATGAGATGACCCCAAAAACAGAAATGGTTTTACAGGTGGAAGCCACTGATATTTCTTTCCCTACTCTTTTCTGACCGTTTTTCACTAGTTAGAAGGTCCTTAACCCATCAGCAAGATCAGTATCTGCTCCTTTGTGCAAAGAGGAATAGGATGAGCACTGCCATAGCCCTACAAAATGGCCTCCAGCAGGCGCACTGGTGTGAATGTCTCTGACCAAACAATCAGAAACAGACTTCAAGAGGGTGGTCTGAGGGCCTGACGTCCTCTGGTGGGCCCTGTGCTCACTGCCCGGCACCATAGAGCTTGATTGGCATTTGCCATTGAACACCAGAATTGGCAAGTCCACCACTGGCGCCCTGTGCTTTTCACAGATGAGAGCAGGTTCACCCTGAGCACATGTGACAAATGTGAAAGGGTCTGGAGAAGCCATGGAGAATATTATGCTGCCTGTAACATTGTTCAGCACGACCATTTTGGTGGTGGATCAATGATGGTCTGGGGAGGCATATCCATGGAGGGACGCACAGACCTCTACAGGCTAGACATGGCACCCTGACTGCCATTAGGTATAGGGATGAAATCCTTGGACCCATTGTCAGACCCTACGCTAGTACAGTGGGTTCTGGGTTCCTCCTGGTGCATGACAATGCCAAAGCTGATGTTGCGAGACTATGCAGGCATTTACTGGAGGATGAAGGAATTGATACCATTGAATGGCCCCCACACTCACCTGACCTAAATTCAATAAAACACCTCTGGGATATCATGTTTCTGTCCATCCAATGCCGCCAGGTTGCACCTCAGAATGTCCAGGAGCTCAGTGATGCCCTGGTTCAGATCTGGGAGGAAATCCCCCAGGACACCATCCATCATCTCATTAGGAGCATACCCCGATGTTGTCAGGCATGCATACAAGCACGTGGGGGCCATACAAACTACTGAGTACCATTTTGAGTTGCTTCAATGAAATTTCAGCAAAATGGACTAGCCTGCTGCATCATTTTTTCACTTTGATTTTCAGGGTGTCTTTGAATTCAGTCCTCTGTAGGTTGATAATTTTAATTTCCATCAAACGATGGTGCATCCTTATGTTCCTAACACATTACCCAGTCCATATCAGTATAGATATCCAGCATGATATTTTTCCCCATTGAGATCTGATGTGTTTTCAAAGTGTTCCTTTAATTTTTTTGCAGTGTATATGTAGAGATAGACTGTAAATCTCTATGTAGCACTCACCTCCAAAAGGGGTCACTGGCAACAGACAGGCTCTCCCCAAGTACAACTTAGTACAGAGGCCACAGGACACCCAAGCATACTGACAATTAAAGCTCAGTCCAGGATGTGTCCTTTTAGGATTTATTGCTCAAGATATATAAGAGATGGGTTTGTGGGTAGGTACAGCATGGTGCAATGGAGTAATTACACAGAGTCTGGATGCAGAAACAAAAACTTGCATTAAAGAAAAGGCTTAACTTAACTGACAGCCCAGTGGGAGAGTGTCACTCCAAGAAACACTTACAGTTCCATGTGACTTGAGAATATTGCAGCTTCAGATGCACCGACAGCGTCTGTTTCAAAGGGCGGAATGTGACCTGGCCGGTCAGGTCCCAGCGGGGAGGCTTCCAAAGTAGGATAGCATGTCCCTGGCCTGTTCCTCCTTGTCAGGAACCTCTTCCTGCAGATATCACTTTCCGTGGCAGATGGGTGCTCTTTCCCACTTCTATCCACTTTGCAAAATGTGTGCCAAAACCTGGGGCAGGGACTTAAAAAGACGCTGCTGACCCAAAATGGCCACCAGGGGTCACCTGAATGCAGCATAGCCAACTGCAACGCTGCCCCAGGGGACCAGGAAACCGTAGACTAACCAGGTTTCTCCTGACGTCCTCTTTGGCTGTGGTCAGGGGCGGACTGACCATTTGAAAACTCGGGCACTGCCCAAGGGCCTGGGATCAGTAGGGGGCCCCATGAGATGCCATTGGTACCTTTTTCATAGGCTTTTTTGAGTTTGGGCAAGGACACAGGGGCCCCATGATCCCCTATTGCCTGGGGGCCCATGAGTTGTCAGTCCACCCCTGGCTGTGGTACCACTCCTGTCAAGCGCCACCTACAGTGGAGAAAGGAGCCAGCACCTACCTACAGGTTTAGGATCACAGAATAATCCAACTGATCAGCAGCAATAACAAAAGAACAAGCTTCTCGCAAGGTAGCTGGGAATATCGAAATATCTAAGGCACCACAGCTGTTGACCACAGGGCAGTGGCTAGCAGCTGGTTCTCTCTCTCATCTGCACAATGGTTTGTCCCCAAGAAGATCCATACTCACAGTGTCCTAAGAGCTCTCTGACACCCAGCCTCCTCAGGTGGATCATCAAAAAGGGAAATTACAAAGTTCTCCTCCAGACCTGGGCTCTGAAACAGTGTTCTTTAGCAGGTATCCCCTTTTTAGCTGTTCTCCTTGGACCCTCAGCACAGCAAATGCTGAGGCCCAAATGGTGGTTTCTTGTTTTAGTGATCCTTCACTTAGGGGCAGCAGTCCCAAGAGTACTGGAACCCTCCTAGGAAAAGATAGAACCCCATGCTCAGGGCTCCTGCACATTTATCACCTCTTCTGCCACCTTCAGGATGCTCCCTTTCAGGGATTGGCCACGGCATGGTAAATATTTAGCTGATCATTTGAATCTCCCTTCCTATGCTCTGGAAGCTGCATCCAGAGGCAGGGTGTCAAGGTCCTACCTTTTCCCTGAGGTTATGTTACTCCATGTGCTGGTGTCCATCTTGGATTCTGCTGTGCATGATGGGAACCCTTTTATGCCTTCAGGTTTCTGTGGTCCATCCCCCAGAGGGGTGTGGCTGATGACATATAAGCCTGTGGGCCGCACATGCTCTTTGCACTTGTGTCTTGTGTCTTTGTGTTGCTATTACGCTGTTCTGACTCTTGTGACTCTCCTGGTATTCTGATTCGGCTTGTGACTTGACTATTCTTTGTATTCTCCTTTGATCTGACCCTCTGTTGCTGAACCCGGCTCGTGACTTGTGATTTCTCGTCTGCTGTCCTGTACCGTTTTGTCCTGTTGTTGTTGACCCCGGCTTGTCTGACTACTCTTTTGTCTCTTCCACCAGTTACACGCCATTGGCGGCGGCCATTACCGCAGCTGAGGTGTCTCGGGGGCCGCGACCTGGTTCCTGGCTGCGTCAAGTCCATCCCCACCATCAGGGGCCCTGGTGAAGGGCAGCCTGGGACTTAGACTCCGCGCCCTGAGGGACTTCGGTCTGTGGGTGGTGGTTGTCGTCAGCCAGTGCGTTACATTGTTAGGCCTGCCTGTCCGTTCCTCAGCTCCTGCCCTGACATTGGGGAAGCAATCAAACTCTCAGCCTATGAATCCTGAGCAGACCAAACAATCGACCACAACTTCACTCCCTACAGTGGAGCCAGAAACTACATTTTCCTAACTAACTTGGAACAACCACTCCAGAGCAGTATTAAAACCAGAAGCAAACATTTATTATATTGCAGCTTACCAATTCTTAGATCTGCTGGCTACATTAGTTTCCTTTTTAGGTTTTCTATTTTCATCTGGCGATCCAGCCAGCAAATCAGTTGTTTTTCAAAAGCTCAAGCTCTCCAGCAGAATGTATCAGTTTACAGGGATGAAACAAATCACTTAACACTGGCAGAGCTGATTAAAATAATCAGCTTTTATTTATTCATGAAAAACCTGGAGCTGGAGTTTGGTTTCAATTTGTTATTGTATTTAAATCTGCTATTATTATATTATTATTACTATTATTATACAGGATTTATATAGCGCCAACAGTTTGCACAGCGCTTTACAATATAAGGGAGACAGTACAATTATAATACATTTCAGTACAGAAGGAATATGAGGGCCCTGTTCTTGGAGCTTACAATCTAAAGGAAGGGGGAGACATTTAACCCTCCCGTCCCCTCATACTGACAATGCTGCTCTGTGCACAGCATGTGTTCATTCATCCAAAGTGGTGTCTCACTAATACAGAAGGCGTTTTATTGGCCAGATCACCAGGTGAAAGCAAAAGTAAAAAGCCAACGAAAACCAGAGCCATAAAACTGATACATCCTCTACATCTAATGATTGGTAAGCTGCAATATATTACATTGAAGCGGAGTTCCACCTAAAAAAAAAAATAAATAAAAGTCAACATCCACAAAAACTGTAGCTGCTGACTTTTAAAATACAGCCACTTACCTGTCCCTCGATCCAGCGGTGTCCTCACCACCGCTGGTTTCACTGGCCGTCTTCTCTCCCTGGCGCCGGGATCTTCAGTGTGGGCACCCGGCTGTGACAGCTTGCGGCTTCACAGCTGGGTGCCCACTGCACATGTGCGAGAAGCGCTGCACTTTGTGAATGGCCCCGTAGTCTTCTGAAACCTGTCACATGTCCCAGAAGACTACGGGGAGGGAGAGAGAACAACTTCCGCTTACGATTGCATAGGTGATCGCAGCGGACGTGGGAGCGGGTACCTGTCAAATTCGGGTACCCGCTCCCCCCCCCC